CAAATAAAATACATTTTACACCCGTGTTAATAGAAAAATTTCATATGCCACATGTATGCCATGAACTTAAAGTCGCCTATATTAAATTCACATTACAACAAGGATAATATTCGTGACGCCTGCCGCGAGGTTAATTTAAACGCACCTTTCTGACACAAAGCAGGGGAAAATATTTCAGGTTAAATTCAAACTCAGGTCATGTTTTAATTTGTAAACAAACAGACAAATAAAAAAAAAAAAAGAAGCTGCGGATAAGAGCGAATCGTGCACAGAGTTTTACAAGATAAAAGTAAATCACAGTCACCGCATCTTCTCAGCCACATCAGGAAACTGGAGATTTTGCTCTTTTTTTTTTCTCTCCCCCCCTCCTGCAAACATTGACCCATCACCTCAGAAGGTGAATCTGCACACTGACTGATTGATTTAATGCCAATCTACGACACTGAGCCGAACTAACGAGTCGTCTCTGGGTCGGCGGCTGAATTAAACACAAAATATACATTAATCTGGACTAAGCAATAAATCAATCAATATCCCCGGCCTCGGAATTCAAGGAATATAAGTGGGTTCGCGGGGCCTGGCGCTGCAACGTGTTTCATATAGTGGAAAGCAGCAGCAGCCACACACGCCTACTGAAAGCCAATCTGACATGTTAATAGAGTTGTGAATGAAAGTCATTGTCTAAAGTAGTTGACCCATCTTTGCAGGTGGATTAGATGATTAAATAAGTGGCATTGTAGTTTGACCACAAAGCCAAATTCAACACATGTTCTCACAGTGTACAGAATTCTCTTTTAGGCACGAGCCGACTGCGTTTTAATGGACTTTGCGTAAAACAGCCTTTTCACAGCCATCCACATCAAGACATTTCCTCAAACACGCGAGAATTAAAATCCTTAATCGCCACATATATGACGACTTAAATATATATTTCAATTTATGCTTCTTTTTTTTAGTTTTAATGTAAGTGAGAAGGCTACTCTTCGCCTTTTCACGTTGTGTTTGAAATTCTGGCGTTTCGGCTACACACAAGAGATTTTAAATAATAACAAAGAAAGATTTTTTTTTAAAAATCACACGAAGAACCTGGAAGTCACTGATTTTTAAAGTGGGTCTTATTTACAGAGTGGCAGTGTTACACCTGACTCCGAAAAAGTAAGCTACGGGAATCAGCCCTTTACGCGCGACAGCCAGCGCGCAAACAGGTGCTCCACAAGCCCGAAGACAACTGTTGCCTTCCCCGCACCACGCAGTTTACGCCACTTTAATCAAAACGCACACACACACGCTAAAAAGAAAAAGAAAAAAAGTAGAGGGAAATCTTACCTGTATTCATCTGTGAATAGTGGTTAATAGATTCCGTACTGGTGAAAATATTCATAGACGTCGGGATGTCCTCTTCTGGGTAGAGACTGTCAGGGATCGTGTTTATTAAACTGCTCATGGTAAGAGGGATCTTGTCCGCTAGTTTCCCTGTCATAGCAGTTATATTCAGTCCGACATTTATAAAGCACAACGCGCAGGTATCCAAGTAGTTACACAAAAACACCGGGTGTTCTCAAAGTGGAAAACACAGGTGTGGATCGGGCGTGAAAAAAAAACCAAAAAAACAGGAGAGAGGAGCAGGGATGGATCCTGTTGCTGTAGCTATCCAAGTATCCCGCGGAGGATGAGCAGCGCCGGTTATCTCCCCCTGTGTGATCACAGGCTATTGTTGTTATTAATCTGATCACTGTGGAAGCTGATGGGCTGCTTGTGGGGGAATTTGAAGTCTGTGAATCAATGAGGAGGTGGTGGTGTTGGTTGCACAAGAGCAGCTCTACTTGCTCTATTGGAGCTGGATAGGGGACTCCAGTCTGCCTGTATTAAATAGGGGGATGGAACATAAGCGTGACGTAGATGACCATATATGGACATGGGCGCCCAGCGCCAGGCTCTCCGCGCGTCAGTCTGTGGAAACTACAGTGGAGGCAAAAGGCTCCGACAGAGAGATAGCTACAAAGTTTACTAAATCTACATGGCACCTCCAGCTGCGTCCTTCTTCGGGATGAGCCGGCGGTTATCCAGTGTTCCCGTCCTTGTGGAAAACACGGTGATTCAACAGCGTGTTATCTTTATTATAGTTACTCCTTCTGATGCCTTCAGTGGACTATCAGGCACACAGCGAGCTAGTTATTCATCTGTGTGTGTGTATGTGTGTGTTAGAGAGAGCAAAAGAAAGTGTGTTGTGACTATAGGGAATGTCACTCTTACAAAAGACTGGCCTACTTTTTGTCATAAGCCCAGCCTACACACTGTTAATTCTGTTAATTTTTTTACCAAAACTGACCATAAACTGAAAAATATGAGTGCTGGCTTAATTTCCAGGCTCGTACTTGTCCTCGAAAGCTTAGTCAGAAAAAATGACTTTGTGTAGTGTAAATGCTCTGAGTCCTCTCTAAGTGAACGTGCACACTCTTTGTGCTGACCTGTGTTGGACAGAACTGGTTTAAAACTCCTTTTCATGCAGCATCAGGGTTATACAAAGGCAGTAATTGACGGAATTAATCGTTTGTAAATATTGCAAGCGCTTTGTAAATCCACAGGCTTGCTTTGACTTGGAGCCCAAGTGACCGCTTAAGTGGAAACTCCAAATAAGGCAGTGTCCGGCCCCGCCCCTTCGTGTCTTTATTTGGACATGTGAGTTCCGGGTGAAGTAGTAGTGGAAAAGTGATCGGAAGCCACAGACGTTTAAAGACATGACAGTGGACAAAGCGTCATGGCTCGCTTTTCACCAACTTGTGAAAAAATACCTACACAAGTTGCCTTATAATGTTTCAAAAATACCCCCCTGTAATTTGGTTTGTTACACAAAAAGCTGAGAGAAGTCAAAACATGTGGGGTCATGCACTGATGTCTCACATCATAGTTACTAACGTTTGCACTCCTCAGTAATAGTTTTAGGAAGGTTTGCTTAACTTTCCGTGAACTTTGTCTGTTTCCTGCTGTAGTTAGAACATTGTAAAACATACAGGCCTTTGCAAAATTCTAAGAAAATTCTCAATGAAATGTCAGGGCTCCAATATTCAGACCTGAGAAATTAATAGTACCTCAATGAACCAGAAGTGTAAACAGAGTGTGTGGGAGAATTAGTCTGAATCATGCTCGGTGTTTAGGGGGCTTACACAAACAGAGCAGCCAGTGATCTTGTGTGTGTCATTACCACAGGCAAGTCCTCCATGTGCTTGTGTGTTTTATGAGTGTCTGTTTGTCGCGGCAGTGGGCAGAGCAGAGTCCTCTCAGGGTGTCTCGTGTCCTGTTCTTGGACCTTCAATCAGAAAAATAAACAGAAATGACCCTATGGATTTGACTGAAAAATACATGAAGACATATGACCGTCCAAAGATAGATTTCCTATTTTGACCTCATCATCCGCTTTATACTGACTCACTCCCTGAATGTATTCACTGGATCACATTTTGTACATTGGTCCGGGTCAAAAGGCAACAAAAGTAAAGGTTGTTTTTTTTGTATGTTTGTGCTGTGCAGAGTTGAAGCTAAAAGCTGCAAGATGTCCCTCTACATTAGTACAGTTAGTATCAGCCCTTAAAAAGCACTATTAGTGATTTTATATTTTTTCTCTTTCTTGTTTTAGCTTTCTGCACAGTGAAGGTCAAATTTGCCTGAAATTTAGTTTTAAACATTAGAACAGCAAAGAAACTGTTCAGAGACACACTGATGTTAAAAAGTGAAACACCTTCTGATTGTTGTATAATATAAAAGGAACCCATCAATGTAATAGATATACTTGGTTTGGACAAAATAACAGGAAAGCCTAATAGTATAATGCGATCCAGAACAAGCCTCTTATTGTGTACAGTTTAAATATGAAAATATTACACTGTGAAAATGAGAATTTATTGCAGGATATTTGCATCAGATTACATGATCTTGTCTGCTGTTCCTGTTGTTTTGTCCATCCCCATTTAGTTGCACCAGGTGAATCAATGTAGCGGGGGATCCGTGGAAAACCGACCTCAACTGTTGTGTGCATGGATGCAAACCAATGGGAGAATTCCCTCAGGTGTGGTGGAGGACTCACTCATAGCATCTGTCCTTGGGGGAAGAGTGTGTGTGTGGCTCTGTGGTTGGAAAGTTGGCCCGGCCAGCTGGAACACCTACCTGTTGCAGGCTTATTTCCTCGACTGTGAGCTGGGTCACATGGGGCAGGGCTTGCAGCGCTTGTCAACGGCTTGTGGCATTAGATCTCTTTGACGGTAGCGTCCCTGGCTCCTTTGCATACAGGGATTCCATGGAAGCACAGGCTCATTTTCAAAGCCCAGTGGAAAACTTCCCAGGCACTGTGGATGCATAGTCAAATGAGTTTTGTTTTTTTTCCAAGCTTCATGGGGAAGGCTTAAAGTGTTGTTCCTTGATGTTGGTGAAGGATTTGGAAAGTTAAAATGTCCCTGGTTACATCGACATGCCTTATTTTACTATTAAACTGCTTATACAAATGGATCTGCTGTTGTTACGACTTTGTATCCAACAATGCTGACAACAAACAGGGGAAATTAGGATTATCAGCTGGCTGTTCCATTCAAATCTGCTGATAATGGTGCCCAAATAAGTCCACATTCCCAAAGTTAGCCTACTATTACCATTATCCAGTTACTGTGGAATCCTTATATCCCCAAATGGTCTTTCTGAAGCACTTAGAGCCCTTTATTGAGGACGACAAGCATCAAATTTTGACTTCTTCCAGTGCACAATATCTGATTTAAATGAAGCTAAAGTAAGAATAACCTGCTTTTAACATGATGACAACTCTTGACTATAAAAACTCTAATGGTTACACATTGTGCATTTTCTTACGAGTAAATAATAAAATATATTGAAGCTTTTTGCTTCATTTTTTAAATCCCATCATCCATAAAGGCATTTCATTTAGCGTTCTATTGAGTCCGGTCGCTTGCAGTAGTTCCAGTTGAAACCATTAAGCTTGTACTCAGCCTGCCGTCTGTATGTAGTTTCATTTTTTATTTTTTTTTTCCACAGTTATTAGGAGGAATAAAAACATGCATTTAAGAAACAAAGCCAGCACAGATACATTAGCAAAAATCTTTAGAGGTCAAAAGGTGCATTTTAAAATTCTGCACTCCTTGTCAGTGAATGTAGACATGTCTTCAACAGTGCCTAAAAACGTAGATATTCATGTGAATTTTATTCAGAGGCAGAACTCAAATCTCCAGGTGGACTGAGATACGTTGAATCTCCGCAGTCGGATCTGCAGGACAATACCAGTCTGTCGAGGTCAAAAGCACAGTAAATAAATGTGCACGGTGGTCAGCAGGCCATATTGTTGACATGCATTGAACAGATGTCACACTCAAATTCATTTTTTTTGCCACTGCTCACAGCAAAGTGAGGAGCCGCAGAAATTCTCCAGTGAAATAAATCTCCTGCTCTTCTTCAGCAGCAAGGAGAAAAGAACAATGGGGACTCGAGTCATCATGCATATTAGATCACTTAGTGCCGGTTAGGCAATTGAATTGATTATACAAATTCCTTTTAATTAATGTAAGTTTGAATAAATTACGAAAATAATAAATGCCTTTCCCATAGCATCAGGGGATGCGACAAGCTATATTTTCAGTGAAGGCAAATCTACCGCACGGCGTTGAACTACAGCTGTCAGTTTTTCTTAATCATAATATTTCAACTCTCCTGACATTTGGAGTAAAAATAAACACATTCAAGGAAGCTGAGTGGCAAAATCCAGCTGTTTTGGCAGGATATCTCCAAGATATAAAGAAGAGAAAAAAAAAATGCACAGTGTATTTGGAAGTACAAATCTTGGCATTTCAATGGTGTACTGATGGATTCAAGTAGGTGGTTTTTTGGAAGAATGCTCTCCCACTTGGCATGCTCCACAATGAGTGTGGAATTATACTCCACTTGCCAATTGTTAAAAATGTGATTTCATAAGTCAAATAAGATGGGTAAATCAGGGTCAAGAGCAATATTTCAACTGACGGATACTTAACATTTGTTCAAAAGCAATGGATCCTCTGACTAACTGTGTGCTTATGTGCATTGTTTTGGTTGTTTTGTTTGTGGACGCGGCTGCTTTGACTGCTAAGTCGGGGAGGCAAACAAAGCAAACGCAGGACAATTTGATCAATGATCTCCCAGAGTTCACGGGGAGGGCACATAGGGGTTTACCAAGGCTGGCTTAACCACCAAAGGAACAAAAACCTCCATTACCTACTCCTGCCTTGCCCACTGATGAAACACCAAATTAGGGTCAATGAAACCACCAACTAAAGATTGATCATCAGAACATCAAAGTCATTCATGTAAATCCAGCCTTTTTCAGACATCTGGGGTATTGATACAAACCACTCCCAGAGGAGAGTTGCTGGTTAGAAACCGATATTCCTCATGGGGGGTACTCTGACCCACCCTCTACAAAGACCCGTGAAGTCGGAAAAGTATCTCATTGTGAAAGGGTTGAAAAGTTTATCCGCACCATCCTCTACAGACCTGCCAGGTGAGGCGCTTCTGCAAGTTCAAAATGGGTTCATCGCCCCAAAGTTACACTCAAGGACACATTCAGATGTAGTAGTTCTTTTTTTTTTTTTCTTTCTTTACTTCCGAAAAATCAATCAAGGACCTGAAAGTAACTCATTGTTTCCAGTTGTGGTAAGAGTGGTCAATGGAAATATGATAAACAATTACACAAACAGCAAGTTCCCTTCCTCAGTACATGACAGGCCCTGCAGCCCCTCCCCCTGTCCTGTCACTCTGTAGAGTATTTTGGTTCAAGTTCCACTGCGGCATCCGGCAGTGTTGCGGTCTCGGTTTCACCTCCCACTTCCTTTTTTTGGCCCTGACGTGTTTCCGCCCCTGAATTAGAATCAACTCTTTCCACACTGGGTTGTGATATCGGGCCATCTTCCTTCTCTTGTCGACGGTGTTCGGAAACTAATAAGAAATCCCCAGCAAAGTCAGAATCTATCACAGGAATCCTTCCCTCCAGACCACGTGACCGAGAGATACGGGGCAACATCAAAAACCAAGCAGCTGGTGAAACACAAAGAGGAAGTCTCTTTCCAACTCGACGATAAGATAGGGGCAAAAGTGGCTGACGTGTGCAAGCTTTGAAGAACTCATGCTGCTCAATTCAGAGAAAGCAGGGGAAACAGGGAAAGTGAGGAAACATCTTATTCTATGTTATTGTGCTAACACATTCTTCTTCTTCTTCTATTTCAAGCATTTGAGCATCTTTCAGTCTTTGTAGTTTTGGGTGAGAAACTGCACAGTGGCCACAGGCTCCCCCAGATCAAATCTTTCGACGAAGGCCTGAAAATCCCATTTACCTGCAGGTTCAAGAAGACACACAAACACAGATATTTATTAGTATTTACAGATATTTGGAAGGAGAAATGCACCTAAACCCAAGGTTTGTTTCCAGTCTGATACAGCGCTGTTTTTTGGATGGATTAAAATAACTTGAAGCCCCTCAAGTTTAACAGACATATTTTTTTTATAACAATATCCTATATAAACGCAGTGCATTCCGAGTACAGTCTCTGGTGCATTACAAGAGCATTTCTTATGACCGCTCGGTCTGTGTTTAAGGGATCTGAGGCCTAACTGAGCAGCACATGGCTCTGGGATGTGAGTCACTGAGAACAGCACTGCTGAAAATAAAACATGTTGCTGTAATGATGGAGGTGGGAACGCAAGGACGTATTGGCAAGAAGATATGATTCAATCGCCTGGACTGTTTTTTTCTTCCCTCCCCTTTTAAACAAACACCAGACGGCCATCCGGCTGGTATGACAATATCACTTCTTAGATTTTGACAACCGCTGATTCCCTGCAGCTTCCCCTCCCTGTACAAAAAAAGAAGAAGAAGAAGAAGAAGAAGAAGAAAAAAAAAAAAGACAAATTCACAATTATCATTCCAAGGAAAGAAAACCCTGCATGCTTTAAACTTACAAACTCCAACAGATCATAGAAAGAAAGAGTGTCTGTATGTCTGCATCTTCATATGTTTGGGTGTGCAGAAGACAATGCTTTGCTGCTTTGCTCTGTAATCCAGGGAATCACTGACATTCTGGTATTTCCGTATGTGGAGTAATTACATTAACAGCTGCTCAAGAATAGCATCGGAAAGTTAATCTTTTGAAAAGGCTGCCAACTATTGAAATGATCCAAATCTGTAGAGAGAATAGCCTCACAGTTTGGGGTCAAATCTGACTTTGCCTGGATAGAAAAATTACTGCTTTTGACCTCTCACTACAGCTGCTTTACAGGCCTTCACTTAGGCTGTTTTTGCCATCAGGGAGACACATTTTGTATCCTCCGGCATTTTGGAGGAGATATGGGAGAAGAAATACACTTTGCCAGTGTCATGCACATCAAGTGCACTCACCTCCCATCAATGCAAAAATAAATCAGAAGGATTCGCATTTCAGACATTTTAGACAAAATGTCTTATTCAAGGCTGTAATTTTTCAGGGTTTTTTTTCCAGCATACATTATGGCATTTAACTCCTGTCATATCTTAAAGCTGAGTATTTATTTGTACGAGTTCCAACTGAAAAAGTTTTAAAAATAAATTCACAGTGCTGCCAAATTATTACTCAACATTTTTTTCCCCTCATCCTTCCTACATGTTTAGCTTATGAGACCGACACCGCGGTGTGTTAGGTCCAGGTCAGGTTGTGAGCTCAGCTGGAGAAGATGGTGAATAATAACTGAAAGATGAGCAGATGCGTGCCTGAATCTCACCAGGTCCTCTCTGTGAATGAGGACTGCCTGCAGAAAGGCTTCCAATAATCAGGTAAGGGCAATGGAGTCAAGTGACCCATCTGTATGATAGGGCATGGCCCCTGTGGCCCCTCTGGCCTGTGCTTCAGTTGCAGATAATGCACCGCCTCTGCAAATCCCCAAACTCCCCTGAATGTCCACAACAAGGTCCCTCACCTCACAGAGGTAGCACTTTAACAAAAGCTGAGGGGTGGGGCAGCTAGGGGACAAACTTTACACTCAATGTAGGGATATAGTTGACGAGTCATGTGGCAGAATTGACTCCCATGACAGTTACGCATAAACGCTCAAACTTTCTCTTTCCCCTTTTCGTGATGGGAACCTGCCTTACAGTAGCGTTAGGCAACATTTCCTCTAATGGAGGCTGTCACACAGAGGATCATTTTATTGTGGAAAAACGATCAAACACAGAGTCAAAACCCTGCACTGCTTGTAAGGCTTTACACACATAATCCTGTCTAAAGCTGTGCAATCATTGGGCACAATCCAAAATACGGCAAATTCACAATATCTGGTGCTATCACAGCGACTGGTACCCTGCAAATGCCTAGACTTACAAGTGACCTTAAAATAGGATGGTGTCTGTTTGTAGTGCAGAGACATGTTTCCGCCTCTCCCATCTGCCTGCTCATGGAAAGGACAGATAGTGTGGGACCTGAGGGCGATGTTAAAGTCTTCCTGCCTCTCCTTTTGTTTCCACCTTGCTTCTACGTCTGGGTATGGCAGGAAGATCAGGACTGCTGTGAGGTGACACAGAACTGCTACATTTAGTGGTGTGGGCGGTGTCCCTGTTAAACCTCTTATAGTGTCTCAGAAATACTCAAAACCAAGTGATTCTGCTCATTGAAGGAGAGTCAGAGGCGCCATATCAGGATAAGAGCTTCACTGAGCTTTTTCACATGCGATTCACAGCAATAATAATACATAATGCAATCATTATTTTATGAAGGGAAAATTCCTCGTGGCTGTCCGAGGTCAGGGGTCAGCCACAGAACAGAGCCCCTGAAGCAGGGATGTGTCTCGGGGAAGCTTCAGCAGTTCAGATCCCTGCTGTGGGTTGACGAAAAAGGTGTCACACCGCTCGGCTGTTGATCTCCGCTCACAGCCCGTTGTCAACACAGCTCCATCGCATATTCAGTCTGAGAGGGATGTATCCCATGTTGGCTTATATTTCGTCAGTATGCTTCACCTGCCACACTGCATGAAAATGTTTTGTTTGTCCTTCAACTCCATTTGAAAGGCTTATTAGCGAAGCTTTTCCTGATCAATTACAAAAATACACTTAGCATCGCAGGGAAGCGTGCACTGAAGACGGGCTACAATTAGTGTTTCCTCTAACAACTACTAGAAGTAGCGATTAATTTGCCAATCATTTATATACATATGAGTCTGTCTCTCTCTCTGTTTCTCAGAGTTGAAGGTGAGGTCTGTTTTTGTTGACTAACATTCAAAACCCTAAAAATATTCAGTTGACAATTACATAAAACAGACAAAAGCAAATATTAATTACAGAAGTGAAGCAGGAAACATTTAATGACTGGAATGTGCTTGACAAATGGTTCAAATTATTAATCAGCTGTCAGAAGAGTTGCTGATTAGTATTCTGTCGATCGACTGAGCCACTGATCGACCAAACATTTCAGCTCCAGTTGCACCCTAATGATTATTTTCATTAGAGTGTTTTTTTCTGACTAATCACAAAGAAAACAGCAAACCTTAACAGCTCAGAAGCTGGAACTTGAGGAAATGTATTATTTATTAGATTTTTCTCACAACCCACTTTTAGCTCTACTTTAATCATTGATTTCAGCAGGATTTAATAAATTTGAACAATATCTATAATCAAGCAGTCTAGTGCAGCTTGAAATGCTTCACAGATAACTGAGAAGTGAATAGTAAGACTCAACCAATGTCGATCACAATGGAGTGAAATAACACTTGATTTAGAAAACTAGATCAAATAAATTAATTAAATTCATTATAAAGCTATTTAAAAATGAGGGAAGTTGAGGAAAAATCAAGAAACTTCTACCCCAAACCTGTCAAGACTCAGTAAAAAAAAAACAAATAACAACAACAACAAGAGAAAAAAAAGACAACCAGCCAAAAATTCAAAATGTCAAAGTGTTCCTTTAAGGCAGCCGACTCCTGGCTGAAACTCAGGCCTGCTGTAGCAACCAAATCCTGGCTCTCTTGACTCCACGCAGCTCTGATTAATGGTAGAGGCTGTGGGTGGGTGGTAGACATGGATCTGCCCATTACCACACTGCAACATTGCAAATGGCTTCAATTACTGTGGAGTGTGCTGAGCTGGCAGTAGGGGCTCGAGGAGGCAAGATGAGCAACGTGTACGATCCAGCAGCTAACTCCACTGTGATCCATTCATTCACACAATGTGATCGCCACATAAGTCCTCTCCCTTACAATTTAGCACTAAAAAAAAAAAAAAAATTCAAGGAAAAAAATGGCCAAGAACGATGATTTTGATCAATATTTCATTTTCAGCTTTTGCTTTTCAGCCAACAATTCGGATCTTGTTCTTCCAGTGCTCATCACAGTTTTTGCCTCTGATCAATCTACAGTAGCTGTTGAGGTTCAAGTCAGGAGACAGAGGGCTGGATGTGTGAACAGCGTATGTGTAAACTAACGTGTAGGCTGAAACAACACTACATGGCCTCTCTCAAGGCCTCGGGGTTTCCCTCCCGGCATTGTAACACTGTTTCCCTTGACAAACTGACTCGTCGGCACTAAACAGTAGCAGGACATATTAAGGGCTTGCCAAGTGGCTGACAAGTATCACGAGGGCCTGAGCGCCCACGCCTGCCCCCCCACCCTGGCACAGGGGCAGCCACCAGTCAGGGACAGCCTTCCTGAGCCAGAGCATTGGGGGATTCCCTACGATCACGCCCCTGTGCCCTGTGCCAAGAGCGCAGCCCCCCTGTAGTGTCCTCGTGTAACAAACCAGCTGTCTCCATCAGTTCACTGACCCACATTCATAACCTTAGCACAGGAGGCACAGCAGACTCCCACGGTTCCTCACAACAGCCCTGCTCCACCTCTAATTGTTCACCCCCTTTATTACTTAAGTGATGGTCAGAGATGAAAAGAAAAAAGGACAACAAATTTGAGATAAAATTGAGTCAATGACTGCGCTACTGGAAGTGGAAAACGATCATTAGGAGTCTTCCACCCACGGCTAAATGCTCTCCCTTTGCAAATCACATCAATTAATGTCATGGGCTATGAAAAATGCTCTCTGTGTCATACCACATGGAGGGAGGACAGACGCTAATAAGTGAACATACTTAACGGAGGAGGTGGGGAGACATGGGATTCCCTCCGTTCCTCTTGTCTGTGCGGGAATACCGCGCTCATGGCCAAGTGGAGGCCGATAATAATGCAGCAGGTACGCTATTGAATTTCGCCAAACCAGCAATGAGTGCAAAATCACAATTATGTCTGAGTTCATTAACCAGGGTTTCATAATACGTTACACAGCGTTTATTTCAATCGCACTCTTTACAAGGACACTTATTATCTCCAGAATTGACCCATCAAATAACACATTTGATTATCCGAGAGGGAATTTTCTAATTTCATTTCCCTTGAATAGAGAGAACAGTTTGCAGGAGAGAGGAAGTGCTACAGCGGGAGTTAAACTCATCCAGTAGATTAAGGATGGGTGGATCCACTCAGTTCAATTGCTTCATAATGTGGGGGCAACCACTGTACAGGAGCTAGTAGCAGAAAATGAGTATGCTACAGCTTGTTTGCACAAAAAAAAAAATGCATTAAAATATTCTAACTAGCAAGCTATTATTCATGCTATTATGTCTTCAGCTTAACCAGCTGTGACATCGTGAGCATCCTAACAATGCGATAAGAGTTCATCTCAGTTTCCCCAAATGCAAGTTGGATACATGAAATACTACAAAGTACATCTCTTTTGACATTTCTTTTTCCAGAGTTTTCAACATCAAACAGACCTCAGCCTAATGTGCCTGGATTGTTTGCTGACAAAGCTGTCAAAACTTCAAACAGCAGAGACTGGCAGCTCCACTCGTTCACGGCCGCAACGCTTGAAGTCTCAGACCGCCCTGATCTCCCCTCAAATCACTGGCTGTGACCCGAGTAGAACAGACAGACAGACACGCCTCCTGCGAGGTGCTTTGCTGTGCATCCAAGTGCCGTAGCCCACCTTCGCACAGACATCAGGGGATGGAAAAGTACGAAAACCCAAAGGATAAACAAAACAATAACGCTGCAAGACAAACAAGGTTGGCTTTTAAGAGACACTCACATTAGAAAAAAAAAAAAAAAACAGACATGGCAATAATATCAACGGTAATCAAGGTTAAAACTAAATTGGCTGTTCATGTGTACTGACATGCTGGATAAGGATTTCAGTTTTGGCGGAGGTTAATGAGACATGGTCAGGCAGACTCGTGCAGGTGTGCGTGGGAGCCAATAATACTTGTCTTGACCCCGCAGGCATTAACACTGCAGCAGACTCACTCACTAACCTCATTAACATTTCCCTTGTTAAGTTCAAGCACTTGGAGAAAATTATCTACCTAAAGCAACTCCAAATGCTCCGATTAAAACCTCATAATTGTGAATTATGCAAAATGACATGTGTCCAGATGAAACAAAGCCAGCGAGTGAAACCTGGGCTGCAAAGTGAGGAGATGGTTGTCCACTGTATAATAATAAATCCAATCACTAATAATAGAAGCTTCAGTCGCGTCACTAATGCATTGTTTCAAATCTATTGTGGACACACAAAAGCACAAACTACAAAAACCAACAATGATTTTGAGAGGGATCGTTGAGCTTCAGCGCCTTGCTGTAATCTTTCTATTGCTGATTCAACAGCTAACTCTTGGCAGTTGTGTTGGTCACTGTTGGTATATGATAGATGATACTGCAGTGGCCAACAGTGTTGCAAACTGAAGATGCTGGTGAGTGTGGAGTCATTACCGCGGGACGACTTCTCCTGCTCGGTGAGTGACACTGGTGCGTCTGCAGGCTGCTCAAACAACATGAACTGGTAGCGGTGCAAGCCAGACTTCTGCGGCGGGGTCGGTGGGTAGTAATCTGTAAAGAAAAGCAAAGAAATTTAGAATCTGGAGAGCCAAGACTGGTGGATGATATGATAAATGATGCTCGTTGATATCCCAATTAATTTCTAACCACTCAAAACCCTGGCATGCATATGGATGTTTCAGATTACATCAAACTAACAGTAGATCAATAACATTGTCACCCTGAATTATTCTTAGCATCCTGTTGTCAGTCTGGGTTGTAGGTAATAGGCAGGCCAGAAATCCTCTCCAACCTTTTAAGGTAGTAAACATGTCCAGCTTCATAGTGGTGTGGTGATAGTTGGACTGTATATGAGCACTGTTACACTTATTGAGCTCCTTTTAAACTTACGATGGGAAGCAGGAGCTACTTTAAAGTTACACACACACACGCTAATAAAGTTAATTTGCTCTAAGTGATATTAATTAGCACTTTAAATAAATAATAATGCAATGTGATCCTACAAAAGTCCAAAATAACACAGAGGAATTGTCCAAACAACATATATAAATTTACCAAAGCACATTGTATATGTACACAATATACATGAGTGAGATGAACTTGTGTAAATAAAATAAATCTAGATGTAATCAGTACAGTAACTGACACTAAACAATGCATTATCAAATGAATATTATACTCACCAGTGAGGGTTGTCCCTTGTATCTGTCCTTTCTTGAGCGCTTCGCCCTGAAAATGTAGACACAGAGTCACTTTGTCAAATTATGAAGGAGAGTTGGTTTACTTTTGGGCCAAACCCAATCACAATTGTTTGAAAATCGCCATAAAAAACTAACAATCTGACAACAAAGGCAGTTCAGTGGGCCATCACATTGCTGTCTACAACATGATGCCACTAATCCAATAATTTTGTGTTCCCGCAGACAAATACTCTGTTCTCACTTAGCTCAGTGGTCAGTCATCTGAAATGGAGAGAGGGTCCACAGGCCACTTCATTCTCGAGTACATTTTATTTGGAGCCAATTTTATTGAAATCTATCCAGCTGAAGTTTGACAACATCATACACATGCAGTCGTTGCAATTTCAGTAAAGACAAAGCCGATAAATTTGAAACTTACGTGACGATTGGGAAAATTAGTGTTTGTTGCTAGTAATTTAAAAATTCAACCCCACAGGAAGGAACGTGGTTGGTTAAAAAATGTCAAAGTTAAACATATAAAAGATTCTGTTGTATTAATATCTGAAGACATGAGACAATTCCCAGACAATAGACAGTTCTCAAGCAAATTAAACCACTGACAGGATTTCCAATTTCCCATATTATTAATTGTATATTAACCTCCCGTTGCCTAGAAACAGACATCACGCTACCCGATGCGAAGCACAGATATTTTTCATAAGCATTTTCCACTGTATATTTGTCAGGTTAAACTCCCTCATCCTCAGGAAGCACACAGTCAGGCACTTCACACTGCAAATTGCACACAGGCATGTTTGTTTAATAGACTTGGCTATTTACTGCGAGACGGCTGCATCCTTGAGTGGGAGGAAAGGGACTAAATATGTTGTCTGTGAAATGGCCCAAAACCCACTTGAGGTAAGCATGGAAGTCCCCATCACATACATCGAGTATGTGGTCTCAGCACCTATTTCTGTCCTCTTTTCTCCACACACAGGCTCCCCCCGCAGGGTGACAAAGGTACTGTGCTACTAGACAGCAAACAAGGACAAAAGACAAGCAGGACAAGGGGTTCTTTTTTTCCTCGCCTTTGATCTTAAAGCAGAAATTTCCGTTTGCTTGAAAATAAAACCAAACACAACACAGACTGTATTAAGGCAGAAACATTATGCTGCTGATGTCTTTATAGATGTGGCCTCAACCAATTCAAAACATAGTGTGAATCTTTATCTCTCTGCTAGGATTTTTTTTAAATAGTAATGAACACATTACACTGTTGGAAAGATGACGTGATCCCTCCTATTTCAGCAAACTAATTAGTACCCTAAATTAAATCCATGTTTCTTGAGGAAAGATATAGTTGCTTTCTAGTCATACGTGGGACAGAGGATTATTAAACTGGACCAACCACAGTTTGACTATTTTTGAAAATACTGCAGCTGTCACCTGGCAGCTGATGAAGTGTTGTTCAGTGATGAATATGGTACATACAGTAGTGCCAAATAAAAATGTAAAATTCTATTGTGACAAATTCATAGTGTGTCTATATTTCAATGCCAGAATGACTAACATGCACTTATAACTTTGTAATAAAACATTTATTAATATCAGTTCCATAATTTCATGTTCTAGTGAGGACATTACCAGTATTACAGCCCATGTCCTCTACTGTGCATCATCTATACTGTCACTGCTGTATAGCATGTTTAGCAGCAAGTATTCAAGTGTTTACACTGACTGATACAATTCAGAAGATTAGTTTCAGCTGTGAGTATCTTCATCCACAGATCAGTGAGAAAAAAAGCTTTATTTAGAAATAGCAAGAGTCCTGCAGCCCGCAGGATCCAAACCCATTGCCATAGCAACAGGTAGTCAACATTTGAGTGTGCAACATTTTCCCACATCTTAATGCTCGCTTCTCGCTCATTCTCCATGGTACCCCTTGCCCTTTTAATTTCATTATAATACATTGAGTATAAACAACAGCAAATGAATACAATATTGAAATTTAGCCAAATAATAAAAGACAAGTCAATAATGCGCAGAACTCGCATAAAACCACATAGTGTATATTAACATTCACAAGATATCAAAATCACAGAAACTGCTTACTGCGTGTTGCGGTTAATCTATTCCAGAGCGGAGCTGGTATCACATGTAGATGTGACAGGGCAGGGCAGTGCTGAGGTCACTGACTCTGAATGTTCACTAAGGAGTGACGGGCTCACTCACACTAATCTACAGGACATTCTCACATGGTGGGCGGCCTCCCTCCGGGACCTTGCTGTGGGGGTGTGACAGAGAGGCTCAAAAGTTCTGACCGCTGAATGATTGACAGCCACTTGCTGTGTTAATTGTGTTTATTAAGAAAGGCTCAGCTTAAAGTACGGGTTTCGTGGAGCGCTTTACTCTTGCAGTATTTTATAGAATATAGACATACACTCCAAAGGGTTTTGACAAAAATAAAATGCCACAATGGCATGCACTAAAACTGAAAACGGAAATGATGATTCAAACGAATTGAACATTAGTTGTCAGGTTGGAATTCATCACAATTTGACCTAATTAAATTCACCTAATGCCTTCTCAACCCAGAATGAGTTTCTTGTTAACCCCACCCATGTGCAATCTGGGAATGATGATTTGTTTGATCATTAATTTGTTTGTTGGACCCACCAATAAGCTGGTGAACAAGTGACCCAAGATTAACTTCATCAGTGTGTTAAGTGTCTTTTGATTGCTCCTTACAAAGCTGCAATACATTTCGTATATGAAAAAAAAGAACATTATGTAGGGCCTGATCCTAACTGTAAGAACCAGAACACTGGACCATCTTTGCAGAAATATAAAATAAATGTAGCTGGACATATTTGAAAAATCTAAAATGATAACCTTGACTAATGATACTCTGAAACGCCACAGACACTAAACAGCACTGACGTAATACACGTAGAATAACTAAATGTCTGGTGACAAAAACAGTGCTACAAAAATGAAAGTTAACCTGGTGGAAGCATAAAACAGAAAGATAAATGATAGGTAACGGACATATGAAGGATAAATTATAGTTTAGTGACTATATAATAAGGAGCTATTTCCTTGTTATTAAATGTGCACTCAATTCCCTAGTTGTTTATGTCTATATTATATATAGTATATTATATAAATATAAACTTTCTTCCAATATATACCCAGGCAAGAAATAGTGTAACTTGGCTTGCTGTACCATATCTATGTTCACCAACAGTTGTATTTTTGGATTGTCTTTCTTGACCTCAAGCTGAGGATAAAACTTGCATTACATAATACAGATGTCAGAGAAAACAGTTTGTACAGCTGCTTAGTACTATACGGTGTGTTTACTCATAAATAAATAATAAATGCGAAACACGCACCTAATTAATTCAAAAACAATTAACACAAACTCACTACCATTAACTGTTTCTGTAAGATATGCTTTTAATTTGAAGCACTGAATAGAAAATCAACACAAAATTAAAATGCGTATCCTTATTACAAAGCCCAATAGAGTACTTGCAGCTAATGTGTCAGTGTTTCAACTGTTTGGAAATTTGCAAGTTATGTCATTGCAGCAGCTGAAAGTTGATAAAGACCAGAACTGGCTTCATTGTGTATGCAGGAACACGCTGTCACTTTTTCTCCGTAAATATTTTTCTCATTTACCCGTCTCATTTTTACCACAGACTATATGTGTAAGAGCGGTAAATATGCATTATTTATTCTGTGTTCATTCACTGAACTGAACATATGCCGAACAGCCACAACATCAATACCACCTGCCTAATACCGTGAAGGTCCCCCTCGTGGCACCAACACAGCTCTGACCTGTGGAGGCCTGATCTAAAGGTGTCCAGTGGCATCAGCCACAAAGACGTTAGCAGCAGCTCCTTTAAGTCCTGGAAGTTAGGGTTTGGGGCCTTCACGGACTGGACTTGCTTTTCCACCACATCCCACACACATTTTTTTCTGATGTGGAGAATTCAGAGGCCACGTCAGCACCTTGAACTCTTTGTCACGTTCTTCAACTTGTTATTTTAGCACCACAGTGTCCTTTAGTTTATTAACGTTAATTTAATTAAAGGCTAAGTCAAGCCATTTCTTTCAAATGTTAATAGAAAATAAATAGAGCACAGCTTAAAATACCTGGCTTGGGTTAATGTAACAGTTATCCTGGAGTTACTTAGTCTAACAAAATGCGACTACGCACCACATCCTCATACTAGGGGAATACCCATTCTTGTAGCTGTGATAGTGAATCACACACTGAGCAGTGTGGGAGAAGCAGCAACTGACAGAGATAAAAACTGAAAGCGTCAATATGATTTATGCTCAAGCATAAGGGTGTTTAAATCTTTCAACGGGAGACATTACCGACAACTGGGACATTACTTCTGATACACAGAACGAGACTAAGAATCAGTGAACGGTAAAGAGCAGTGGGAGAGAAATTATGGTACCTGAATAAGACAGATGTGGTCCTTCTATATCTGTGAGATGGATCATTTTCTTGGTTGTCAATTCACTCTTAGAAACAAAAATATCTATATAAAGCTAACTGACCCCAGTAGAAAATCTGGAGGTGCAACGTTTACTGGTGGCTGATTGTTTTTCAAACTGTCATGAGTTGTCTTGAAAATCTTTGAGCAAGAGGAATCCTCAGTTAAGCTAAATTTTTGGTCTATTAATATATTTGTGACACCAAGGGTGAATAGGGACACTACTTTTCAAATGGAGGGCCTGGCTTCCAGACACTACAACGGGAAGACTGTGCCTTGAAAAGAAAAGAGTCCTGGCAACCCTGAACTCTGACCTGCCTGTGAAGGAAACTCAGTGACGACACTGTACATTCAAATACAAAAATTAACATTCTGAAGAATTGTTTTCATATATCACAAATCACTTGCTTCTAAGTTTCACAGAAGCTCGTTTCACTAAAGATTCCTCCATTTATTATGTCTTTAGATACCAGATCTAGCTTATGTGTGCCCAGCTGTGGTGTTACGGACGTTTCATCCTACCCCTCCCTGC